AAATATTGCATTGTAATGGTGTTGAGATATATCTTATGGAAAAACAGTGGAGTATACCTTACCTACAAACACATTTTTTAAGATTTGAATCGAATGACCATCGTTGGAAATCACCCCAACAATTGCCCGGATCGTGCGGTAAATGACAGCGTATATCAGCAATCATATCAATGCCAACTTCAAAATGACATTCATTTGTACAATCTGAAAAAGACAACAACTGACGCTGATATAACTTTGCTGCAAGCTGCAAACTGACCAAACTTAAGTTACTCGAGGTTGAATTGCTCGAAAGTGAACAACTCTCTCCAGGTGACTCAATTTGGAAAATAGATCCGTGAGCAGAACAGGAGGTCAAAAGGTCAACCTTCGAAACTATCAAAGCGATTGTTGTTACCACCGCATCCGCCATAATAAAATTCTCGGCACCTATGCGAAAACCGATCGTAGTACCATTTGACGGTGAAGCCGCGATCCTCACATGTTCCTCGATCCGGATAATCGTTACACTTTGCATTTGCCAGCATCTCCTGAGCGTGCCCAGGTTTGAGAACGACCAACAACCATGATGAGAACAGCAGAAAGAAGCTCATAGATGTGAGCAACGAACCTTTCATCCTAAACCAAATGATATCCAGTCACTAATAAATGCAACTCAACTGAATCGCAAATGGGATAACCAAAAAAATTTTTTGATTGCTTGATTTGCGAGACGAGTCATATTTCTCATCAATTCCATCGAACTAAAAGATCATAACGAATGCCGCATCGGAATGAATGATAAGTGCTTAAAAAAGGAGTTGAACACATCATATGGATGCGAAGTGAACAGCAACTGACAGCATAAATAAGAGGTTTTAATGGGGAGCGAAAATTTATTGTTTCAATAAATTTTCAATTAATTCACTTAAAAGCCACTCGTTCGAAGTTCAGTTTTTTGTCTCGATTCATCACGGCAAAAAGCGAAGAACTTGTAAAAAACGTAACGAAACGATAAATAAAATACGATAGAGATGTTTAGCGTCAACTGGGCATAAAACGATGTGCTGATGTGAGCATAACCATCGTGTACTCGGGCATTTCGGTTTTATTATATAAATATGAATGCGATAAACACATTCATAAAACAATTCTGTTCTTTGTTAGAGTACGGGTTTTTTTCGATTACACGCAGTGTTTATTCGATCGTTTTCTGTGCTCCTTCGATCACTATCAACAATATACACTTCACATTCATATCAGCTTCACTATCGTTTATAGGTTTATGAGATACTGCTTAGTGTTTATTTAGTAGTAGTCAACATTATAAACTATCCATTCGTGGAAAAACATTTCACTACTTATTTGAAGGCAACAACGAGAGGTTTTTTTTTCAGTGACCAATAATTCAGTCTGAGCAAGTACTCATCTTGGTGGATTAAAGTTGGACCGCATTTCACTGCCTAGATGTAAGTGAATAATTTTGCGCATTAGCAGTGTTGATAAAAAAATCGGTTATGATTGATACCGCATGTAGCGTGTTTATGGGTTGATGTTATTTTGCGTTGTTATTTTGAATAGTGCTATAAGAAAACGAGGAATGGTTGGAATGTTACGATGATGCGATGCATTGCACGGCAATTATCATTTGAAAGTATCAGAGCATAAATATGCCAACGAATCGTTTGCAACAGATTCGGTGTGCAGCAAGAAGATAAATTGCACACATAATCGAATCAGGCTGCTCTTATAATGAGTTCAATGCGGCACAATAGCAACCGTATGCTTACTGGCACTAATACTGCTGTCTCACTGCTTCCACAACATAGGATATTTATGGAGGAGATATTTCGATTATTTCGATTCAAAACCGACATTACTTAGGTCAAGCAGGAATCTATCTGTTTGAAATTCAGAATTTATCAATCGTAAGTATTATTGTGAAATTATTAATGTCATTTCAAAATCGGTATGGATTTTAGCGTAATCGAATGAAAAGAAGGATTCCTGCCCTGAATAGTCTTATTCACAACCATCTTACGAATGGTTCTTTGTTGTAATACCTGTCTTATCATATATTCAATCTTATTCATCACTATATTGAGAATTTGCATTCTTTGTAATGTCTATATCACATCATCTATATCACATCATGCTTTGATTAAATATTAACCAATATCATTGTTGCTGCTAAGAAAACTGTTATGAATTTTCTTGTTGACTACGTGAGTAAATTGTACGTTCACTATCCACGCTTCGTCTTCATCGCTAAAGGGAAATCGCATCCAACAGCAACCAACATTTACAAGCAGAGTTTTCTTATCAGGATAGACATTATCTGATTGTAAGTCAAGCTACAAACAATCGAATAACATCAAAATTCCAAAAATAAACCATACTATCATAACGTGACAACATTCATGATATTGCGATAGAGGAATAAACGAATCGAAGTGGAACATTCACTCGACAAAATAAATAATATCTGGTTGTCCATTAAGTTGGCCAAGAATTAGTACAAAACATCAACAATATACGGAGTATTCCACTTATCGTAGTCAGAAATTTCAATGTCTATGCAACTGAAAGCAGACAGCACATTTGCGGATTAATATACTGAATGGCACAGTATTAGTGAGACAGACATCATCTAATGTGCTGAGAATGTATTGTGTTTATTTCATAACAATTGCAGCGGATAAATGTTATTTATAATGTTAATGAATGAAGATATTCGAAGACACAATGATTCATGCTAAAAAATAATTCATAATCTGTGGTTAATATCAACAGATAGATATATTCGAAGGGAGCACATGACAAAGAGAATGTTTCAGTTGAGATGAGGCAACAAACTTTCGAAAGTTTAAATTTTGCATCAATGATCGCCTGAAGATGTTGATGATGGAAAGGATGATAGCAAGATATAAGCGACATCAGATGTGATCAGGCTATTAGACACTGATAGGATGGGGGCGAGACATGTGCATAAGTTTCAATAGGACACATATTGTCTCACCTGAACTCTGAAGGTTGATTTTTTGGCTTCGAGAGTTGTTGCAGAAGGAAGAGAAGCTTGAAGTGCTGAGAACAGAACAGCAATTGTGAGCTGTAAGCGATCGTAGAATAGCGGGTGCATAAAAAAGAAGGCTTTTATATTGATGGGTTGTTCCGTGGCAGAACGACGGATGCGATGAGAGCTTAAGCATATGTGTGAATAATGATCATCACTGTTCTTATCTTGATCGTTCAAATGTTCATACGCTTCATGAACTATCAAGTATCATATGTTAGCAATTCCCAACATTCCAGAAATGCAAAATATCTGTAAGACTTTTTTCAAAGCGAACAAGTCGAGAATAGAAATGATGGAATGCAAAATATTTGTGAGACTTTTTCAAAGCGAACAACTCGAAAATAGACAAAAAACTATTCTCTCCTTCTTCTGAGTCAAAAATTCTATTTAGTCAACAGCATCACATATGGGATCAGCAAGAAGAACTGAAATAAATGATATTCAATGGGCATAGTGCGATGAACGAGTCAATTCAAAGCATATGAATGTAATTGGATATGAAAGTTTTCGAAGAAGCTCACAAAAGCAAAGCACATCTTATCATCAGACGTTATACACTCGAACAGCTATCAGCACTCGCGGTGCAGCTAACGATTTTGCTGAAACGTTCAGCTAGATATTTCTCAGCTCATTCGACTCTTTTGGGAATACCCACTTTCGAAGAGTTGATCTTTCAAAAAGGTGGTACAATCTTCACGTAAAAAGAAAAAGTTTAGGCGATTATGAGTATTTCATAAGAGACACAAACTAGAGATTGAAATGAAACAAAGCAGCAATATCATAGCATATTTTCAGTTCTCATTTGTGATTACGAGGTGAGGTGAATAGATCAGAAAAAAATTTACAGATCATTCAAATGCAACTCGCTCGATTCGAGGTGGAGTTAAATGAAATCGAAAGTGCATATGATAAACAGATGTGCTGTGGTGGGAATGTGTGAGCGAGGTAGACTGATGTGAAACTTGCACATGCTCGGAATTGTTTGCATTTTGAACGCTTGAAATAGGATAGCTTATTTTCGATGGAGACGATAGCAATTAGCACAGGCGAAGTAGGCAAGAGGATAATTTCATGGTTTCGGTAGGTTTTTGCGTATGAAAAGCGAGTCGAAGATGTTTGTTGAAACCAGAAAAGTTTTGATGGGGATGACTTTACAAGTGTCTCGAGCACTTGTACTTGCAAAAACATCGGATTTCAGAATTCACTGACACGACTAGGGTTTGCACGGAATTCCGGGATCTCGGGATTTCAATTCAGATCCCGATCCCGGGATTTAAGTTTTGAAAAATCCCGGCATTTCGGGATTTGATAAAACAGGTGAATTTGCGTGAATTTTGATAGTATGCTCATCTTGAAGCAAGCCTTAATCATTCCCATCTCATT